GCGGAACAACAGATGCTTTCACAATACAAGCCACTACACGTGTAATAACTGTATGCACCATGTTATATCGTCGCATTTCTGTATAGGTAACATCAAAAGAACAATGAAGACGTAACACGGAAGGGAAAGGAAACCGAGCATTAATAACGATCCTCGCGGTTTTCTGTCGTCTATAATCTAAAAATGAAATAAAGGCACAAGTTTAAAATGAGCAATGTAAAATTCGATTGTGGGATGATAGTTTCATTCTAAATGTCTTATTTAGATTAAATTACTCGATGTTACATAAATTTATTTTGATAAATATATTAGGATTTTTTATTACTTTCAAAAATACATTGAAACAATTGTATAAGATAATAATTCTGTACGCACACGATTAATTTTACAGAAATTAAACATGGTTAGAAAATAGTGATTAACTTTTTCAAAAATAGAGATTAATTAGTATAAATACTACTTTTTCTATCAAACTTTATATTATTATATCAAGTAGATTCAAATAGAACGTTGAATGAAAAATAAAATGAGAGAATTTGTCGATATAATCGAGCAACTGTTAAACTTTAAAAATGTGTTATCAAGCTGTATGACTAATTATGAGATACAGTACAAATATATATGACTAATTGTAAGATATAGTAGCGTCCATAAATCTTTAACGTTAATGTTTTTTTCGCATTTCACGAAAAGTTAAATATCTCTCTGTGAAAAAAATAGCAGAGAAGTTTCCGACTATGTATTTTTAAGTGCAAAGATAAAGCTTTAAATTTGCGTTTGAATTTTTTCTACGATATTTGGTTTCTAAATTACATTAAATTAAAAATTATTATTTTTTGCAATATTGTGGTTTTATTTTAAAGTAGTGCGGTTTGATGAAATATCATTGAACAATAATACGATGATTCTCACAAAGATATCGAATTTTGTATAAAATTTTATTGTGTGAGAACTTATTTAAAAATCAATCGATTTTGAAAAAATTCATACTCAAGCATATTATAACTAACATTTTCCTTTTTCGTCTTTTTTCAATTAGCCTTTTAATTTCGGAATTGAAATACATTTTTTAAAAAAATAAATATTTAGACAATAAAATTTCACACGACAAAAAAATTTGATACCTTTGCGAGAAATTATCATACCAATTTTTTTCAAAAAACATTTTAAAGTTTAGAAAGCTTATTTTTAAATACTCTTCTATTAAATTTCCGATAATGTTTCATCAAACCATAGCGTTTCAAAGTAAGACAAAAATACTGCAAAAAAATATCAATTTTTAATTTAAGAACAAAATATCATAGAAAAAAATTAAACGCAGATTTAAAATTTTCTTTTCGCACTTTAAAATGCATGTCAAAAACTTCTTTCAAAATGTTCTTTTTCCATCGAGATATTTAACTTTTTGTGAAATACGACAAAAATATTAGTGCGAAAATTTATGGACGCTACTGTATAAAAAGCAACATAAACGTGAATCTTGCATTTGACAAAAAGTACAGACTATATTTATAAATCATATTGTTTATAATTTCGTACGATATTTTTTTATTAAGAATATTCCATTTAAAATTCAAGTTTAATAATGTGATTGTGTCTATAAATAATATGAATCTTAATCTTTTACGATTTTTTATAACGTACCGTTAAAATGATTCGAGTAATATTCTGTAATATTGATCGACATCGATTTGTGACTGATTCTATTAAGAAATCGTATACATCGACGAGGAATGATACAAATGCAGAAGGAGAAAGGAGGGAAAGTAGTAGAACACAACGGTCGCGTGCTATTACTACGGACCCCTTCACCTTAAGATAATTAGCGATATCCATCTTCTACGGGGTTCTACCCTTCGTACGAACGGAACAGAGTCAGACCTCAGACTCGGCGCGCGTGGCATTCGTCTACGAGCGTATAACGAGAGGTGCCGCAAGGTGTCGGCCAGCCGAGGGCGGGAGATTTCAGGATAAAGACGCGCGTGGCGCCGGAAGGAAGCCCTCGAGGGACTGCATTCGGTGCCTTACCGTAACGTTGAAACGCGTTAACGTTATCAATAGTGCCGGAACTTTAAAAGACCAACTGGACAAGACTGCGACGTGGTATCGATAAAGCTTTACAATTATTGTCAAGCTAATAAAATACTTCTTCTTTTATATTCGTACGGAATGAACAATAATATGATAACGAATCAAATATTTATAATATCTAACGTAAATTATTAAAGTTCTATTTAATATTTAATTTTATATAAGAAAACGTGAGAAATGGTGACTGAAAAATGGTGACTGTTAATTCAAAATTTACGAGATTGTGATGAGATATTGAACAATTTGTGAAAATGGGGTATTCTATTACACTGAAAGTGGCGTGCAGCTGTCTTTCAAATTCCTCATTGCAAATGAAATAAAAGCGGCGGATGAAGGTTAATTCTATCTTTCTCATGAAGTGATGCCGTTGGATAAGAGACTTTTAATAATCTTGTACGAAAGAATCGCGATACAGTTTGTGGGGAAAGTGTAAGGTGTTGGTGACCGAAAGCGGGAGATCTTGTGATAAAGGAGTCGACTAGAAGGAAACCTGAAGCACTCATGAGGAACGACACCTTGCGCAATCGGGTGAGCAAAGTAATTTAATCGATACTGGAGATACGAGTGGACATTTAAACACGTTCGATGTAAACAACAGAGTATTGTTAATATTTAATTCTGGTATAACTCTTTTGCTATGGAAAATTTTAACACAAAATAGGCGGTAAACGATTTAGCAATGATATATATAGTCAACTACAACGATTTCTTACCAGCGCGTGTTGTTTTACAGAAATAATTGAAACGCTGAATTGTTTCACAATGAAGAAAATATTTTATAATTAATTTCTATTTTTCATTCAAACATTAAAACTTGAAACATACGCAATATTTAGGCCAGTATTTATGGTATCGATTTTTATACTTAAGACCTTCTTGAATACAATCTTAAAATGTCATAAACAAATCACAGAGCCGAATTAACATTTTAAGACATTATTTAAGGCGATTTTGAAAAAGACTACTATAAAAACAGACTATTAGCTTTAATTGCTAAGTAGTTGTTGATAAAATAAGTGATTGCCTGTAGACGCCAACAACAATGAAAATGTTAAACTATTTGACTTTAAAGATACGTTAGCAAATATTCTACACATATTTTCTGACTTTGGATTTTGATTGAACGTACCCTCGTCATATAATGATTAACTTTTCGTCAGCTTATTTCACATCCAATTAGAAACTCCGTTCGAGGGGTGGAATGTGTGACGAGTGTATGATAGATCGACTATTGTTGTTTGCAGTTTCGACACTTTGCTCTCGGAAACGAATCCGAGACGTATCCGAGAGCCATATGGCATCGCAAGCGTGTGGCGAAAATCCTTGATGCATCTTTTAATTTTGTTCTAACGCTCAAAATCGTATTGTACATTGTTTGACAGTATATTTTTCAGGGAAATTAATAAAATAATTTATATAATTAAAATATGTGCATACATATCTATATGTGGCATCGAAAGAACGTATGAAAAACTTACGTAGCATATTGATGTAACAAACATTAAGATACATAACTTATTCAATTTAACAGCTTATAAAAATATCTCTAATATCTCTGCAAATATTTCCGATAAACAATTATATAAATCCGAGTTGAAAAGAACTACATTCATGACATGCCATTTGAAATTGCACTGTTTTTTTCCGAAATTCTTTGCATCTTCTGATAAAAATGTGTATTGTAGATGTTGGAATTTAATAATATGTCTTTTTATTTTTGTCATACTCAAGCCTTTTGTTATCAATTCGTGACAAAATAAACAGAAAGTGATGGTAAAATAGAAAGTCTGTGTGCATTGTAAGATGAAGAAGGTAGAGAAGCGTTCTGAAAATTCCAACCTTCGAATGAAATGGCGGCTAATACAAAGAAAATTGCGTTCTGCAATTACGATGTCACTTTGCAACGAACATCAAACCGCAAAATTAGGTGTATACCTTTCAGCAATCATTCGACTATAGCTAATAGGAACAATTGCTTCGAGAGTCGTGTTACACAAAGAATTGTTAATATTGTGAGATATTGCGTACGACTGGACGATGTGGTAAGGATCGAAGAGAGAGATCCGTTAATGCCTTTAATACTCTACTAACATAAGTAAAATGGATTTCTTTGACGGGCACAACTACAGAGTCAACAAAATTCTACTATTGGCAATCGGCCAATGGCCTTACCAATCGTCTAGGACGAGCCACGCAATAGTCATCGTCATAGTAACTATAGTTTGCACGCAAATTTTCGCCAAGGTACGGCGATGACTAATACTTCATCGCATCAACATTTAATTCGAGGAAATAAATTTATAAATTCACGTGTATATTCATATACACGTGATATGATATTATGTTAAAAGTTATTGCACAAGAAATTTTTTTGTATCATTTTGCGGTCCGCCGTTGCACAATCTAACTGAAACAATTTACGGATACAAATATAATACGAATTGCGAGCCGCATATTTTTTTCTTACCGTAAACATGTCAATATAAAGCACTTATTAAAGTTTTATTTATTAAAAATAAAACTTTGTTTTATTTTTTTTATAACAACTATGTGCAATAATAATTGTGTGTATTTGTCAATAAAACTCTGATATTCTTAAGGTGCCTCTATATAATTCGCAAATCGTAAAACGTAGTTCACAAAAATGTTGACGCAGAATGACAATCACCACAGATGAAAACCAACCGCACGCAACAAAAAACAATGCAAATTTTTATTCTGCGTCTGCGTTTGCGAATTACGTTTTGCAATTTGCGAATTATGTAGAAGCACCTTTATGCTACAATATTCTGCCGGTTGACAAAAAATTAAAATAACGAATCGTATCATGGATTCAATTTTTTTTTTACAACTAATAATAATTAACTCGTTCTCCCAAGCTATGTGGTATGTTCTCCTACATTCACGATATGGATACCGTGATCGAGTGTCTTGTTCCATTAATGGTTGATGTATCAGGTATGACGAAAATAATGAATTCCGTACTGTACGTGAATGAGGTATGTATGACCATTTTTTCTATAACGTATCTCACAATCAGTATAATTAATTTACTTATTCTGATGTAATAAAAGCGCGTTTTTCTGCTCGCAACTTGTTTCAATGTAGGTAATGTACGAAGGCAATTTAACGAAGCATATATCATTAAACATTTAACTCCGTTGAAACTCAAACAATTTGATCATTTACTTAAGAATATTTTACATTTATAGATAAGAGCCTTGCTCGATCGAATAAGAGATGATTTTTATTCGTTAAGAAATTCCAATGACATAAAGATGCTTGAAAAATATGCGGATAGTGGCAAAAGATCCTCGACCATTTATGTTTGTGAGTAAATTAATTGTTTAATTAATTTTTAGTTTCTTACATCTTTAGTTGCTTGCGCTTTTAAATAACACTTTTCTTTAGGTGTGATGTATATATCAACAGTAGCATTTTTGTTAATGCCTCTCCAACCGTTAATCCTTCAAGTCACCAACGTCACTCGACCTATGTTGCACAGAGTCGAATATTACGTCGACATGGATAAGTATTATTTTCACATTCTGATTCACGGATATTTCACCGCTATAATTTGCGTTACGTCCATCGTCGCGACCGACGCAATATTTGTCATATTTATGCGACACGCTTGCGGCCTATTTATTATAACTGGGTGAGTAGCAGCGTTTCACGGAAAGAGATTCGACGAGGGGCTCTTTTCTTTCTCAATTTTATATCATTATCCTTAAAGCTCGCGAATAGAACAAGCTATACAGGAGATATACCTGACCGGAGATGTCAATCTCCCAATTACAAAAGATACGGCGTACCGAAATATGGTACAGTGTGTTCACGATCACAGAGCAGCTATAAGGTTTGTAATTGCAATTTAAGCACAGAAATCTCTAAATATTCTGTTTGTCTTGGAATAAAAATAAATTTGGATAGTCTTAGACGAGTACAGGATGTAGTTGTTTAATTTTACGATATTCAGACGTCATTTGCTGTTATTAAAATATATTTGAATCAAGGTTTGTCAATCTCATAGAAATTGTGTACTCCAAACACTTTCTATTCCATGCCGGGCTGAATATGATAGCTATGAGCGTTACAGGCGTTGGGGTATGTGCATCTTGTATTATTATGTTAATTGTAATAGTACAAGTGTTGGAAATTGATCTAGCAATGCATTAATAGATGAACAATTACAATTAATTAGTTTCGTGAATATCTTAAGAATGATTTTAAACAAAGGCTTTTTATTGCACTTATAATGTAATTATTAACTGAATTTGTTATATGTATATATTTCATTAAATATTTAATTCTAGGATTGTCATACATCTCTGTGACATATTTCAAGTATTCTTGGGACTTTTTATTGTTTAAATGTTTGTATTTTGTAATTTAAAGAAATGTGAATTTTGATTTTTAAATGATATTTTACCATATGTGAAATTCTCCTTAAAAAAGTTTATTTTTTCGGAATAAAATAGAATAGATATATTTGGGAGTTCAAAAAATTCATTGTGTAAACCAAATGTACAAAAAAATGTATCTATATAGCTCTAGAATTAAAATATTATTTTATGATTAATTAGCAGCGATTAATATAATCTCATTTAGGCTGTGACAAAATCAAATGATCTATCTGAGCTTTTGAGACTAATAGCGGTGTCGTGTGCGTTACTATTTCATCTATGCTTTGAATGTATTAATGCTCAGAAATTGATAGATTATAGCGGATACCTTCATACTAATTTGTACGTATTTCACGCGTAAACGTTAAGTAAAATTAATTAATATTATTGATAAAAACTGTAAATATATTAATTTAATAAATTCCAGTAAATATATGAATATAAATTTAAAAGCACAGCTTAGCAAAATATGAGCAAGCTCTTATCTGTAATTGCAGAATAAATTTAAACTGGTACAATGCGTCGCCTAGAACGAAAAAACTTGTTCTTTTCATGATGATGAAAACGCAGCCGCCGTGCGTATTAACGGCTGGCGGTATGTTCGTTTTGTGCATGGAAACATTCGCCACGGTAAGATAATTTATTCCGAGCTTGTAGGGAGGGAAAGAATACGTTGACGTAATAATGTTTATGTATTAGGAAAGCACATTATATGCCTTAATTCAGAGCTGTCCAAGGTTGGTGTTTTTCTGCTTGAAATTGAAATGTGTCGGTAAATTCACGTCCATCATCGTTCTTCTATTATTCCTCACTTCATTGCTGTTTTGTCGTAACGCGTGATGCTCGATCTCATGAACGACACTAGGCTGAAATCGTTAAAAGTTACTGACCTGTGTCTTTCACTATTTAAAGGCATTCTGTTACTAATATTATAAGATATTATTCATAATAAATTTAATTATAAAAATGTGAATAACAGAATACTTTTAAACATAGTGAAAGACACAGGTCAAGAACTTTTAACGATTTTAAATTAGTGTCTCCCTAAGCGTCGCACGCTACAACTAAACAATGAAGTAAGGAATAGGAACATAATAGGTATGAATATACCGACATATTTCGATTTCAAGCCAAAAAACACCGACCTGGGCACCTATCATGGAATAAGGTCGGAATGGATTCCGATCGGAATTATTCAATTATTCTCTAGATTTCTATTAAGTTTTCTAGGGAAAACAGAATAATTCTGATTGGAATTCATTCCGACATGTTCCATGATAGGTACTATGAACAGCTCTGCCTTAATTGAAACACATCTCTTAGTTTTAAGATTATAGTTATAATCGTATTTTACATTCAAATATACTATACTTACAATATTGACCGTTTTTCTTGAAGATTATGAAGACTGCTGTCTCATATTTCACTTTTTTGCGCAAGGCGCATTGATAGGCGCAGCTTTCCAAGTTTTAATGAGACATCATATCTAGAAACAGCAACCATCCACCAATTAGATCTAGGACTGATTAACATTGGTTAGAAATTTTGATCTGAAATTGAGAGCAATTCTTAAATAATTACTGAAGTTGTAACAGCAGTTACTAAATGGATGCGAACTATATAAATGATATTGTGGTATTAGATATACATATGTACATATATATATATATATATATATATATATATATATATATA